CTTCAAACTCAGTGCTTTTTGTCTTCTAAAAATACATTTCAATAGGGTATTTTTTGTTCAGACCCACTGACACTGTGACAAAGACACAGAAAAACCTCCTTTTCACATTTATAAACATTATTGGGAATTTTCAGGCTCCATGAGGACCACAAAAGGTTCATGGAAGGATTTGTATTATCTTTTAATTTTATCTTCCATGAACTTTTTGAAGTACCCTCGTACACTTAGAGCTTGTGCATTTGTCACAAAAGCAGGAAATGGCAGAACACCAAAGGCAGGAAAACCAAGATTGACACTCTGTACTATTCAGGTATTAAGAAATTACTTTCAAAAACAAATGACAGGAACCACTCTAGAAATCAGTTTGGCAGTTTCTTAAAAAGTTAAAAGCATATGAACCATATGACCCAGCAATTCCACTCCTACATATCTGCCCTAGAAAACAGAAAACTTCTGTGCATACAAAACCCAATACCTAAATGTTTATAGGAGCTCTATTCACAATCACCGAAAACTGGAAATAGTCCAAATGTCCTCTAATAGGTCAATGGCAAATCAACTGTGGTATTTCCATACGGTGATACTACTCAGGCATAAAAAGTCTATACATTACTGATTTTTAAAACAACTTGGATGAATCTTAAAGGCATTATGCTTTGAGAAAGAAGCCAACCTCAAACAGTTATGTAACATAACTCCATTTAAATGGCACTCTCAAAAAGACAAAACTATAGTGATGAAGAATAGTTCAGTGGTGCTAGGAGTTAGGGGTGCGGGGAGGGTGTGACTATGAAGGAGTACTCCAAAGTAGCTCTTTAGGGTGATGGAACTGTTTTGGATCCTGATTGTGGGGAGTTACATGAACCTGTACATGTGTTAAATTTCATAAACTTTCAAAAAAGACTGTATGGTAATTTTTTTTTAAAGATGAGAGAAAAAGATTTACAATAACAAGTATGAGAGAGGATATGGGGCAACTAGAACTCTCAGTCATTGGCTGACTTCATCTGCTAAAGCTAAATATATGCTATTCTACAACCCAGGTATATAGCCACAAGAAATGAGTCTATACATCATCCAAAAGATGTAAAGAACGTTAATTGCTTGCCTGATTCATAATAACCAAAACCTGGAAATAAACCTAATGCCCATAAACAGAAAAATGGATAAATACATCAGTGTATATTCATACAACAGAATATTACACAAGTAAAAAAGAACAAATTACTGACAGCTATTCTATGATTTGAATGTGTCCACCAAAAAGCATGTGTTAGAAATTTAATCCTCAGGGCCGAGCCTGTGGCGCACTCGGGAGAGTGCAGCGCTGGGAGCGCAGCAGCGCTCCCGCTGCGGGTTTGTATCCTATATAGGGATGACCGGTGCGCTCATAACGCTCACTGGCTGAGCGCGGTGCGGCCAGTCTCCAAAGAAGGACAAAAAAAGAAATTTAATCCTCAACAGTAATAAGAGGTAGGAACTTT